TAAGTATTTGTTGTTTTCAGGCTAATGGAACAACTTTTTTCACAAATGTCTTCCAATTTATAGAAAGATACATTTATATATATAATATACATATATCATGGCAGCATTCTTTCACATGGGTCACTTTTGAGAAAAAAGTTGTTCCATTAGCCTGAAAACAACAAATACTTACGTGGACAAAGATTTTGCCCTTTTCTCCATACTTTGTGCTCTGATATCACGACTGATAAGTTACTAATTGTAACTATTTGACAAAACATTATTTCAAAAATGACCAAACGATTCCTTTAGGATAGAAATCAGAAAAAATACATGAGGATGTTAATGCAGCATCAGAAGCAAAACAAAACAATGCAGTAAATCCAGAAGTAAAACTGCATTTTTAAACCTGTACGGTTAAGTCAGGTTCTTCTGAGAGTCCGTCCAAAGGACCTGACTTAACCTTGTTATAGCTAGATTAATGAACATGCATCAGGATGCACTTTAAAATAGAAATCCAAAGGTAATAAAATGGACACCTGTTATTCTTTTGACCAAATAAACACATTTTCATTTGACTTGGAGAATACTGTTGCTTGTTTCTTTCGCAAATACCACTGATGTCTTTTCTGAACTACCATTTTCACAAGCAGTGGTGCTTAATCTGTTCCCTTTTTATTCCTTTGGGTCATAGAAAACCAGATTTTGTGTCCACAATCTGAATCCACTTCTTAAATCTCAGCCATGCATCCTTTCAGTGACCTCTTGCAACATCCATTCATACAATACAGTAACTCATTCAGCTGTAGTGTGATCTGCCCATTGCAGGAATGGCACTGCTCTGCACACACTCAGCAAATGATAAGACTGATACAACATCATGCACGCTCCTCCTTGCTGCTAAACTTAACTGTTACTCCTCTCATCAGAACAGTAAGCGCCTCATTACGAACTGTCAAAAGAGACTGACCCACCCTAAAGACAAGCCAAGCTTGTCCAAATAAAGTCTTTGTCAGAGTGGAAGGAAGGACAGGAGTCCCCAGCAAATGTCCCCAACGTTTGACAGATGTGAGCGTGAGTCATGTTGCTTTCAAAGCGATGGTTGAGCTACAAATGAGAAAAAAAACTTGGCTTCAGTACATAATTGGTAGCTGGGGTTAACAACGTGTTATGTTGTCACAGGTACCAGTTTTGTCTCGTACAGTCTGCACAATATGCCTCTGTCTGCGACCGTATGATGGGATTTCCTGTAAAGTAAATACGATCACACCTGAACGAGAAAGAAAAATGAACGCCTTTCTCTCGGCTTCACTTAATAACCCTGAAGCATTCGTTGTGTCACTGCCCTCACAGTTAGGAGGATTCGGTGGATTACATGCAGTCTGAATATGTAATGTGGAAGCTGATTAAAATCAACAGCAGAAAAAACAACGTCAAAAGAAACAGATTCCCAAATGTTGAAAACAGCCATCCTAGAGTTTATAGCTGCTACTGGTTCTGTTTGCACTTGATGACCATACAATATATTTAATTTACCTGTAATGTGAAACTGACGGCATGTAATACTTGAAAACTATCCAGCATTTGGACAGTTTCTTGTTTTGTTGAGGCATTTTGTCCTTCATCCAAAGGACTTCGTCAGTCCAAAGAGCCACAACAAACTCAGTCCCACAAGTAGCACACTCACTGGATTACTGATTATGAACATTGATGTTTTGAACCACTTTGACTATGGCTGCCTCAGAGGAGTCGACAGGGGGGAGGGCAGGCCACAGAAACCATCTTATCACTAGTAGACTGGTTGGTTACTATGTGAGTGTGCTGCTTGTGGGACTCAGTTTGTTGGGGCTCCTCGGACTGATGAAGTCCTTTGGATGAAGGACGAAACGTCTCAACAAAAAAACAGCAACCGTCCAGATGACCTGACTGAAGTTTGTTGGATTTTTTTTTTTAACCTGGATTATTGAGCATGAACTTTGATTCTTTAAAACTCTATTCTTGGTTAAATAAAGTTTTTGGACGTTTTTGTTTTACATCATTGATAATAAACTATGCCTTTATTTCTGCTGCTTGTGCTTTTATGTTATAACTGCAGAGCACTTCAATAGTGCACATGCAAAAGTAGAATCAGACAGCTTAGAACGGTGCGGTGTAATTAAAGTACCTGCAGCAGAGAATCAGTGCATGAGACATCAAAGAAACTTCAGCATCAAGTTGTTCAACATTATGAGTCGGTTTAGCCAAATCACAAAGTAATAATAATAAAATATATATCCTCAAGTTGTTTAAATGATTAATGTCAACCCCACAAACATGACAACTTGTGACACCTCCTCAGGGTTTTGTAATGTAGCTGTGTAAACTGTCAGGTTTATTAGACTTAATGCGTCCAGACTTCACCAGGGGCGATGCAGTAAATTGCTACATCAGTTTGTTTCACCCAGAATCTGTCTGTACAAGACTTAATGTCATTCATTACCTGCAAAACTGACAAGTGTTTTCAGGCCACACATGAAATAAAACGAAGGAGAAAAAAAACAAAAAAATGGCACAAGACCTGTCACTCGGCTGGAGGAACTGTTTGAAATTCTTCTGCTACTTCAGGGTGGAGACGACGGAAACATGGAAGCTCTGTAAGAGTGAAGGCTATTCACTTTCCACAGATGCCTGGAGGGGGTGTGACACCTCTCTTTTGAACACATGCAATAAAACCCATCTAGGAGGTCAGATTCTAGAAATGTTTCACATAGATGAAATATCACACACAGAAACAAACAAATAAAAATCATCAGGATTTGAGAATCTAATCTTATTTAAAACCAGTCAAGACAAACTCGTGCAATTTGTTCTTTTTTTTTTTTAATTAGCAAAGTAGAGCATTAATGTACATAAACAGGGCACATAAAGTGCAAATTTTCAGTCATTGAATTAGAAATCTATGTGCTGGATGTCTTTTTTCCACCACCTTTTCTGTACAGGCGACCATGATGAGAGCAAAAACACTAGAAGCATCTTTCAGTAAAACACCTGTACCTGCTGTGACTGCTACAGTCAAATTAAAGTGCATGCACACTGAATTCACACAGAGGCGGTGAAAGGTAAACTTTTTGTATTAAATGTCAGACTGATCTGCAGGTACGGCATGCTGCATGCGATCATAATAAATGAAAACACAGAAACGACTCGTTTCGCAGCAGATCGATGCATTCAGGTACAGAATGTGGAGTAAAGGTGTTTTTAAAGTCCGGCGGGCACATTGTGTCACTCAAGCAGCGTTGCACCCTTCTGAACCATTCGAAGCATCTCAC